CCCTGAGCTAACATCTGCTGCCAATCCCCCTCTCTTTGCTGAGGAAGACTGGCCCTGAGCTAACATCCGTGCCCATTTTCCTCTATTTTATATGTGGGACACCTGCCACAGCATGGTCTGCCAAGCGGTGCATAGGTCTGCACTCGGGATCCAAACTGGCAAACCCTGGGCCGCCAAAGGGGAACGTGTGAACTTATCCACTGCGCCACTGGGCTGGCCCCTATTTTTCATGCTTTTTATGGGAGATTTGTGAATTTTCTCTGTTTATGCTGAATATATGTCATTTCTCTAAATACGTTCGCTGGTGACTCACTATGACACTATATGCCATAGAGAAGAATTCAGCATAAGTGACTGTACTTGGGCACCATCCAACAAAATTTAGTTACTTCATACTCATCATCAATCTTATAGTGTAATCCCTATGACATTTTATAAATTAGGTTGGACCATGTGAAATGGTTGATCTTGACCCTTTTTTACCTATAAAAACGGCAATTCCTTGTAATTTACATAATATTAAAAATCCAGTCCATTCATTTCTTTCCTCAAACTAACTTATTTTGTCCAATGCCCATAATATATTCTATGTACATTAGATACTTAATGCTTATTTATTGATGGGATAATGGGCTTGGAGTTGATCTTAGTGATACCAATTTGGTAGATTTTAAAGCATTTGTATCTGCCTTTGCACCATGCAATGAATGTAAAATATCTTGAGGCTGAGGGTGGCTAAAAAAGAGGTTTAATGTCGTGGTTGTCCAGGCTTTTCGTTCTATATAAGGGGAGGACGCATGGTGGCTCAAGGAGGTTAAGAATCTGGTAAGCCATTTGAAAAGTAAACAGCTGGAAAGATTAAAAGTGTATCTGTTCTGATCTTGGGCGGTCTAGGCCAGTAAACGTAACCACCTTTTGAAATGGTGTTTTGTTCCTTACGTAGTGTTGAGGGAGGTATATTTTGCATGAAGGATAGGAGAGCTTATTAGCCACTTAGCAGACAGTCCAAATTCCTGATGCAGGTAATTCAGAGATAGGAACAGCCGCATGAATTGCTAGTCCCAGCTCACAGTGGGGATGACGATGAATGGTGTAGTGCGTCTGCGGGCTCTGCCTTGGTAATGAAGCTGAAAATGGGCTTGTGGGACCTGAAGAGACTGATGCTAGAGAAGAGGCAGGTCCAAAACAGAGAAGGCCTTGCACATGTTCCAGAATTCAGGTTTTCAGAAATTTACACTGGCCTTTCCCATAGTAACAAGTCCTTGTGACACATTATATTCCAGCCGATGCTGACAAAAATGCTGACAAAAATGCCAGAACCACCTCCCTTCTTGCATATTACAAAAGTTCTTGATTGCAGTGGAAATGCTGTGTCTCTCCACTGATTCCCTGTGTCCATCCACGTTGTTAACTTTACTTCCTTTGCTATGCTCCTGTATGGATCTGTGCACACTAATGTAGAATCTTGGTCAATCTTCACATTTTAAAAATATACCTGTACGTGAAAAGAAGTCTACTGTGACTTTCTTATTTTCATTTCCCATTTTCTACAGCATTGCCATCATCAGCAGTAAACTTTTCCTGAGGGCGTAGTCTTTTTGCCAGCTGCATTGTATGAGAGGCCATGAGCCCAAGGCATGTAAGAAGATAGGAATGCCAGTGCAGTGAGAAAATATACAAAAAACAAATTGGAATACTCCCATGACAGCTATAAATGTCAGTTGTGATTATTACAGTTTTCAGTGCCAAATGGCTGTAAATGATACCAACATTCCAAGTGGGGAGGGGTCCCTTAGACTGGAGGAACGCTGTTGTAGAAGAGCTGATAATGGATTAGGGTCGTATTTAGGAGGGGAAGAGATGCTGTTCTAAGCTAGCAAAAGCATTTGAACAGGGCATGAGGTAGCGCTGTGCATGGTGAGTTTGGGGCATTACAGACAGACCAGATTGGTCGATACAGGGATAAAAGAACCATCCAGAAAGAGACACCTGATCTGAATTCTTTAATCTGAATATTAATACAGAATAAATTGTTTGGATTAAAGTGCTGATCTGGGACCTTAATTTTGAAGTATTATCCAACTGTATTAATCCACACTCTTGAAACAATATTAATAGGTACTATTTACTGAGTGCTTACTACGTGTCAAGCATAGAACTGAGGACTTTGCATGTGTTATTGCATGGAAAACCCACCACTCTGGGACTCCATTTTATAAATAAGGACACTGAGGCAGAGAGTTAAATATCTTTTCAAAGTCAAGGAGATGATAATTGACCAAGGATTCAAATCCAAGTGCAATGGTTCCAGCATTTAGGCTTTTCACCAAGAGGCTGTAATAAAAATCAGAAAATGACATAGTGTGGTGACCGAGGTCACTAGTGCCTGGTGCTTTCACTTACAAACTTTGGGAAGGTTATGCAACCTGTGCCTTAGTTTTCTTGTGTGGATAATGGGGATGTAACATGGGTCCCGTCTCGTGGGGTGGCTGTGAGGATTTGGTGGAATAACGTGATTGCAGAACATGTTTATAGTAGGAGTTAGCTGCTGTGAGAGCTTGGGGGACATCTCAGCCCTAATCTTCTTTGCATGACAGAAGAAAAAATGGAGGCTCAGAGATATCCAGTGGTTTGTTCAAGTACAAAGTTAGGGTTAGAATGAAGCGCTCTTGTCTGTACTAACAAGGGCTCTTGTCTCCACAGCACACAACCTGCCAAATCAGAAGGTATGGTCATGCCAAAATGGCCTAAAATTTGCTTTTGAAATAACTAAGAAAAAGGCATTTTTGAAGTAAGTTCTGGTGCTTTGGGATGGATGAATTATGGTAGAATTTAATTTTGTGTAACATGAAGATATGTGTGTGTGTTTGTGTGTAGAGGGAGTTTGATTTTTTTGTTTCTAAATAGACAACTCACTATTCAGAATGAGTTACTAATTCTTCACTTCTGTATTTTTAAAATACATTTTTCCCCACATTAAGATAAAGATGGATGTCAACTTTGAAATACAAAATTTTATGTATATTGCTATTCCTAAGCCACTTACTCTATGCTGAACTTATTCAACAATGTACAAGCAAACTTTGGCCTGGTGTCCCCATCCACTGTCAGGAGAGGGCTGGGCTGGGTGTGAGCAAAGCTGGCGAGGCTACCGATCTGGCTTCTGTTGGAGCGCAAGGGGAAGGGAGAGTGACCCGACTCCCATTCTTAATGCTGACTAAATTCCATGCCGAGATGAAAATTTTAGGGGCTGCCCTAGTAAATGCCCAGGCTTTGGTTCCACTGTCCACTCAGGTGTGTCATCTCTAGGATCTTACTCCCCACTCTCCCCTAGAAGAGGGCACATCCTCTCAGCATCTACCCTCTCTCCGTACTCCATCCCAGGGTGCTCTTACACTAAGCAGGATCAGAAGGGCAATGCCTGCATGGACCAGAATAAGAGATTTACCTTTTTGCCCCAGCACCTTGGATACAGAATACCCCCTAAAAGGGCCAGCTCCATGGGTTTTCTACCTCTGCAGTCTCACAGGGTCCTGTGTTCAAAAGGGCCCCATGCTTGGTTTAATGCTTTGCTGTTGCCCTCTTGAAATTGTTCAGCATTTTTTAACAAGGGCCCCGCATTTTCATTTTGCTCTAGGGCCTACAAATTATGTAGCCAGTCCTGCCCCCTAGCAACATGTTCTGTTGCTTGACTTGTGTATGTTTACTTTCAAAGACAAATTCAAGAATACATTAGATAAGATAGTTGCAGACTGCTTGTGTTAATTTAAGGGAAGTGGGATTGCTGGAGAAAAGGGCTTTAAAGCATATCAAGACTTTTGTTGTTGAGGAAGATTGTCTGTGAGCTAACATCTGTGCCAGTCTTCCTGTATTTTTTTTGTATGTGGGATGCCATCACAGCAGGGCTTAATGAGTGGTGTGTAGGTCTGCGCCCAGGCTCGGAACCCGTGAACCCCAGGCCGCGGAAGCAGAGCATGCCAACTTAACCACCAGGCCACCTGGCTTTTGATGTGCGTGTTACCAGATACTTTAAAGTATTTGTATCTATTTATTCTTGCAGCAGTGCAATAGATATTCCCACTAAAACAAACAATTTGGCAAATGTATAGATTATAAGTGGTATCTTCTTGTTTTGTTGCCTGTCTTTATAATGAGTTAAACTATGTTTCAAATTATATTATATCATTTGTGTTTCTTCTTTGGTGAACTGCCTGTTGTTCTCCTTCCCTGATTTATATGCTAATCTTAGAGTTTTTTGAGTCATTCCCTTGAGTTCTTTGGACAATAAAGTCATTTACCTCTTGTGATTTTTTTCCTAAAGGGTTGTTGGCTTCAATTATATTTGTTGCTTTTTGTTTATTTTTGACATGTAGAAGTTTAAAATGTTTATATGGTTGAATCTCTTTATAATTTTCTTAGCACTTTCTTCTGTTAGTTTTAGGTTAATAGACTTCTGCCTTCTAGAAATTTCATAAATATTTACTTCTGTTTTCTTTTGGATTTGTATATTTTGACTGTTATACTTTATTTTTGAGTAAGATGGGGATATGATTTTTGAAAAAATAGCTACCTAATTGTCCCAGCACCAGATATTAATTCTTGCCTTCTCCACTGAGTTTTAATGTTACCTTTCTACCCTCACTATTTGCATATGAATTTATCTCTAGGCTCTTCATTCTGTTCCACTGATATTTCTGTCCTATCTGCAACACCCTGAATTAATTGGTGTACTTTTATGTGACATAAATGGACCAGGGCTGGTCCCCCAGCATCCTCTTCCCCTACCTCCAGCTAACTTATTTTCTGATCTATTGTCATGTGTCCATTTTTCTCTTAACTTCTGTCGGATTTCTACTTGGCAGTAAACTACTTGAAGTAGTTTTTCTATGAATGTGAAGTAGTACAAGCAGCATTTCCTTTAAATGTTGAGTATTCAGACTGTTTACTAAATCATTATCTGTTTCACAGTGATCTCTATTAATTTTTCTGTATTTGGAGATTCTTTGTATTTTAAAAAACTTGCTAGTTTTGTAATTTTGGTAAATTAAAAAGACAAAGTCTATATTTACATGCTAAGTATCACCTGGTTCACTCCACAAATATTTACTGAATGTCTCTAAGCAGCTGGCACTGTGGGTAGCAGTGATCTTGACAGACAGAGTCCTTCTCTGAAGGTCTTTGGGGTGAGTTCTGAGAGGAGGGCAGCAGCTGTTTATCACACAGAGTCTTGTGTGTCGTAGTAAAGAGTTTGGGCTTAAGCTGGAATCCAATAGGAAACTGCTAGGGAGTTTTAAACTCGGCTGGTGATGTGATCTGGTGATGTGAGTATCAGTGTCGGTGACATCTTGAAAAAGTAGAGAAGGAGGAGTTACTTTTAAATGCAAGAGGGAGAACACTTATGCCAAAATATTTAATACCATCTCTTTTTTATAAAAGATATAGAAGTCTTGAGGCAGGCAAGATTACTCTGCCTGTCCGAAACCATACATCTGAAAACATCTCACCAAGTAGCATCACACTGAGAAGAAACACCACCACAAATGACTGAAATTCTTACTTTTTATTAAAATGAGTTAAAGCCCTGTGAATTACATTCCAACAAAGGAATTTATGAACATACTCATAGCATAAACCTACTGTAACGTTTCTATCTGGGTTCCACAAAATGCATTCGTCAAATGCAGCTTGCTATTTAGGGTGAGTATAATCAGTTTACAAGAAGGTGAATGAAGGAGGCCTGGAGAGGAGGAATATAGTGCACAGCTTGAAACTTTAAATGTCTGTACCCTGTTCTTCCTTCAGACAAGATGGGATGGTCAGAATATCCCTGTCACTTTCATGGATAAAGCAAAGCCTTTGTGCTAGAAGAGTTTGGGAAAAGACTTCTAGGGAATTTTGCAGTTTCTAACTAAGTATCAATACATCCAGAAAGAGAATGAGAAAAAGAACAACAGCCATTGGTGGAGTATTTGATCTATCTTAGCCCAAAGCAAAGCTATTATATTTTCAAAAGAGAAGAGAGATTAGCTTCTAAGTTGCTATATTCAAGAACTATTCCAGTTTCAGGCAAGATTTATTTTGCTTAATGTATCTCCTTTTATAGAAGCCAGACCTTTCCCTTCACTGGCCCCTGAAAACCTTAGGTTATGGCCGCAATTTATATGATAAAAGAGCTGTAAATGCAAAATTTAGGGAGAGTGATTTTTTTTTAATGCATAAAGCTTTGAAAAATACAACATAGATTATAGGTGGAAGCTGAATTAAAGTTTTTAAAAGAATAAAGACCTACTAAGTCATCTGTTCGCTGCCCAGAGCAAATTGTACTGTTTCCCAAGCCTGGAAGCCTTATCAGATTTATCGTGTGGCTATATATACTGCTTCTTATTTTTACTTGGTTGTGCTTTTTTAAAGCATTACAATTCATCACTGTGAAAATTATTACTTTATACTTTTTCAACCCTTCATAGAGTCAGTCTCTAAAGTAAGAAAGTGCTGCTTTCACTTGGAAAAAGTATCTTACCTTTAGGATGAATTTTTTTTTTCTTCAATTCCTGTTGATGTCTTTATGAACTTCTGCAGTTCCAACATTGACCACCAGGTGCAGCAGAGAGAATGCTTCCTTTGTCCTTTGTTAGTTCCCATAACAGAAGTCTAGGAGTAGGATGGGCATCAGGACTGATTTGAACTGGTAATGTCTTAGTGATGTCCTTACTTGACTTCTTTTTGTGTTTCTATTTTCCTACATTCATCATCATGCTAAGGTGGACTGTCTTTTTTGATACAATATGGCTGCTAGCAACCCCTAGGGTTATGTCTACAGAGAGAGCATCTTCTTCCCTACCAATGAACAACTTTGGCAGTTTATCTGTCCCTCACTATCTGCCTGACCAATCACTGGGCAATGAGGAGGGGCCGTGTTGATAGGCTTAGGACAGGCAGGGCTCCCTACTGGAGCTAGGGATGAACTCAACTCTCACCCAACCATGAGAGAGCTATACAATGTCAGGGAATGAAATAGATTCAGGGGTGTGGCAATCACTGCACTCGGTATACTGTTTTAGCTGCTCCTTCCTTCATGTTATCATTTAGAAGGATTTTGGCTGTCTGTGAAATACCGTGTTGCTGCCATTCCTACTTTCTCAATTGCTCTGTGCTGAGAGATGCCTGTTGGCAAGGATGATCACCAAGGATGAAATAGAATTGTTGCCTCTCACTGTCATTCCAAGGAAAGCTTTTCCCAACCCAGGGAAAGTGGGAGAGATGTAGGAGGAGAACAATAATACTCTTAGGGAGCATGGCAAGTAATAAAATTGGGGCTCTCATTTGGGGACTAAGAAGATCAAACTGGACAGGCAAGGTTGGAAGTCACACACCCAAAGAGAAGACACAGCAATGAGATAATCCAGCTGTGATGTGGTGATTTAAATATGTGTCTCTATGTGTATGCATATGTGTTTATATATGTATATATGTGTGTGTGTAGATAGATAGATAGATAGAAGCAAGGAAATTCTATATCGATATAAAATTTCAATTCAGTAGAGGAAGGAAGAAGTTGGCTGACAACTCTGTCTCTTCTATTTGACTTTTAACTTTTAGGTCTTTTTAGATCTTGGTTTGTGGTTGTAAAATGGTTTGTAGTTTTGCTGGAAAGTTGATAATTTTTTGAGTCCAGCGAAGTAAAGAAAGTGGGAGTGGAAAGCTGTAGGGATCTTGAAGATGACCTCCTCCAAAGTCCCTCTCCCCCAGCCAGAGGTGCCAGGGAGTAGCTCCCTCAGGGCCTCACAGCTAGTCAGGGAGTAGTTGTGGATCCAAGCTGTGAATTCCAGTTTCTCTATTTAAGTGCTCTCTTAACAATATTTGGTACCTATGTCTTATCTGTAGTAGGAAAACCTGTCTGCAATAATCCTCTTTACCAAGCAGGGCTGTTTGGATCTTTTTTAGTTCCTTTAAACAGAATTTTAACAATAGAATTTTGCCTATGACTCCTTAACAAATGGGCAATTTGGGATAGGAAACATAATAAGATCCTAAGATTGTTTTGTAATAAATAAGATTAAGATCTGAAATACATAGTCCTTTTTTTCTCTTTCACTGTTGGTAGATTTACTGCTCATCTGTGAAAGGAGGAGAATCAGTTCCTTTAAAAAATTTATTATTCAGAATTTCTACTAACTTAAATTGATCATCACTGATAATGAAGGTAAGTGCATATACATATGCTTTGTATAAAAATTCTGAAATCACTGAGTGACTGTAGGGTACAAAGGTCTGTAACTGTCTGACTTTGGCCTGGGGTTGAGCCACATAAAGCCACAAAGATTCAGAGGATGTTGCTTTCTGTCCCTTCACTACTCTCTGTTGAAAGGTGAAGTTGATGTTTCTGCCTCTCTTTCCCTGCCCTCAAGATCCTGCAGTAAAGTAATCTCTTCTGCCAAGATGGCTTAATCATGGAATTACGTCTAACGTGGTGTCTGGTGCATGGGATACTGAATGAATGAATGAATGAATGAGTGAATGAGTGAATCAGAAGAGGCAGTTATGAGTTTGTCAACACCAGAGGCTCTTGATGCCAGGAAATGAACACATGGCTTTGAAGATGCTCCCAGATTATGCTGAAACAGCATTGAACTTGAGAAAGAACTCTTGTCTTTCTTTGCGCATCTGGATTAAGCAAGGCGCAGTCTTCTCAGGATCTTTGGGCCATGGCAGCCCTTCAGAACTTTGGAGGAAAATCACTGGTGCAAATGGTGGTGATGTTGTTATTAGCATAAAACTGTCTTTTGAATGACTTACAGTACAATGGAAATTCCTGTGCTGATGCTCATACCCTTTAGCCTGTCCATGGTTTGATCCTCTCATTACTCTGCTCAGAAACCCAGCTGTGAAGCACCATCTGTCAGCAGTAGCGGCATCTGTCTTTGTGTCAGCTGACATCTGTGTTAACTCTTGTAGAATTGCCTGAAAGCCTGTAGGTGGGTGTGAGGCTCTGGGGAGCAGGCTCTGTCTTGGTGCCTTTAGTGAAATATCGCCTGGCCTTTTCAACTTAAAACCACCCATGATGGTGTGCCAAGTGCTTGCTTTTTCACAAGCTGGGAGACTCTTTTAGGACTTCTTGTATTCCATGATGCATTAAATCTTACGTGTTGATCTTTCTTTTCCATCCATAATAATGCTGCCATGCAACGAGAACTGAATAAATGCTTCTAAGATAGACTCAACACGGGATTTTCTGCTTTCTGTTTAATTCTTCAGAAAATGGTGTTGGAGTATCTAGTGGGTTGAATAGTGCTTCCCCCCTGCAATTCATGTCCTTCCTGGAATGTCAGAATGTGACCTTATTTGGAAATAGTGTCATTGCAGATATAATTAGTTAAGATGAGGGCACACTGGAGTAGGGTGGGCCCTGAATCCAATATGGCTGGTGTCCTTATAAGAAGGGACACAGAGATATGCAGAGGGAAGATGGCCATGTGATGACTGAGGCAGAGATTGGATTATGTTGCCAAAAACCAAGGAATACCCAGGATTGCTGGCAACCACCAAAAGCTAGGAGAGAAGCGTGGAACAGATTCCCCCTAGAGCCCTTGGAGGGAGCATGTCCCTGCAACACCTTGATTTCAGACTTCTAGCTTCCAAGACTGTGAGGCAATAAATTTCTGTTGCTTTAAGCCATCCGGTGGGTAGTAACTTGTTATGGCAGCCCTGAGAAAGTAGTACAGAGTATTATATGGTATGTCACCGCTGAGAATCTGGATGAATTTGTTCAGTTCTGTTTTGCATGCTCAATACATAGCCATTGTGTAAAGACTCTCCTTTAGGGTAGTATAGGTTTGAGTGGTGCCTGTCAGGAAGGGATAGTCCTGTTAGGAAGTATTACAGGAACAGGGCTAATACATTAGGAATAAATTTTCAGTTTATTCACTCAGTCAGTCCCTCACTCTTATGCCAACTCACTTAACACATATGCACTGAATGCCCCTAATGTGCCAGGCACAGTGCTTATTTTGGGGGTGTAGCAGTGAGCAAAACAGGTGCAAAACCTACTTTCATGGAGTTGAGGATCCAGTGGAGAAGACAGACATGATTGTTTTCATTCAACCTATGTATTTTTAACATTATTATTTAAAAAAACCCACAGTCACACTAAACAGCAATGAAACTTTGTGAATCAAGTAGTATTTGGGAATATCTTTTAATGATCCTTTTAGAAACTTAACCATACTGTATTTATGTTCAATTGTATTCACTTGTCTGTGGTTTATCTCCCCAATCCAATATAGACTGTCTTGTTTTTCCTAGTACTAATCATAATGCTTTGCATACAATAGGTTTAGTATGTAGTTGTTGAATAAAATTGAATTATTGATTAAGAACATTAGTAGGGGGATGATTAATAATAGCAAACATCTATTAAGTATCTATTAGATGAATGTGCCGTTATAAACAATTGATTTACTTACCTAATTTTATTCTCATAACTGTTCCATGAGTTTGTATTTTCCAAGAGCCCATTTTACAGATGGAGAAACTGAGGTACTCAGAAAGCAAGGTAACTTCCTCAAGCTCAACCATGTAGTTAATGACAGAGCCAAGATTCAGGTGGGAGCAGTCTGTCAGGCAGCACACCCTGAGGGCAGCACGTTGTGTTTTGGCAGACTTGCAGCCATCCTGCTGCCTTCCATGGGTTAGTTTAACAGAGCTATGTTGACGTCATGTCCCTTTCCTCTTTTTCTTTTTAGTAATCACAGCCTCTAGGGGTAATGCAGAAAAGATGGATTTTAATTGAGATTTTTTTTCTCTACGTGTACCTTCTTTTTCCTCTAAGAGAAAGAGAGTGACACTGGGAATGTGGAGTGATTGCTGATCAACTTAAGTTATTTCTATTTAATTCTTTCTCTTTATAGCTCTTAACTTCAAAACTAGCTTAACTAGAATGATTAGATATCCTTCAGGGTCGTGTGCAGTTAAGCCATGGGCTTGCATTTCATGTCATGGTTTTGCTTGTGTGGTTTTGGAGTGGGACACCCCTTCCTGTGCTCTCTGACTGGAGGCTGAAGCTCTTGCCTTTCCTGCGTTGCCTTTCCACATGGGCAGTCCTCATGTAAGCGAGAATGAGGAAGCCCCCAGCTGTCCCCTGGCTGTTCTGCTCCAGTCAAAGTCTTGCAGGCCTTCGAAGAGCAGAGTTTTGCAGCAGGTGTGTGTTCGGATCCCAAAGCACTGTGTCTGCTCCATAGCATCTGTGATGTGCGCTGGTTTGCTGTTCTGGATTCACTGCAGCCAGCAGCACCAGCCATACAGCCCTGCCTAGAGGTAACACAATACTCCTTGGAATCATTTCTTTACATTCCATTCCTTTAACCCCTCGCTCTCCGCCCACACTGGGGCTGCAGCAGAGTTGTAAATGGCTCTCGAGGAGTTGCTGACTCAGCAGTGAGGTTGTTCCCATTTTCTCTCCTGGAAGAACTCTGTGTACTTCTTCTGTGTGCTCCAACCGCAGCTCTTAGGATCTGATTTCGCCTGGAAACAACATGCACTAGAAGTTCAAATATTAAAAACCACAAGCAGTCAAAGCCAGCACATCTGTCATTGCAACATTATTCTATTCACAAAAGCCGAAAGGTGGAAACACCCCGTGTCTATCAACAGACGAATGAATAAACAAAACGCGGTGTATACACACAGTAGAATATTATTCAGCCATAAAAAATGAAGTACTGATTCATGCTAAAACCTGGATCAACCTTGAAAACATTATAAGATGTAAAAAAGCCAAACACAAAAGGATGAATATTGTATGATTCCACTTATACGAAATTTCTAGAATAAGATAATTCATAGGGACAGAAAGCAGATTGGAGGTTCGCAGGGGCTAGGGGAGGGAAGAATGGGGAGTTACTGCTTAATGGTACAGAATTTCTTTGTCAGGTAATGAAAAGGTTTTGGAAATAGTAGTAATGGTGGCACAACATTGTGAATGTAATTAATGCCACTGAATTGTACACTTAAAAAATGACAAATTTTATATTTTATATGTATATATATATATATATATATATATATTTTTTTTTTTTTAAATAATGAAAAAAATGCCAGCACCCTGAACCAGGTCTTGTGTTTGAGTGCTGACCACATCTCTAAGCAATGAGGCAAATGCTGAGAAGTGTCCTTGGCTTTTCTCAGGCTGGACATAAACCTGTTAGAATGGCAGCCTCTCGGGGGAAGGGCCCAGCACAGGCCTTGGTGTGGAGTAGGTGCTCAGTTAGCCATCTTGTTCCCTAGCACTGCCCTGGACTGCCCTTCAGTTACAGACATGTGTATCCTGCTCAGGGGTCCTGAGGTCACTTGTTAAGTGCTTTGGGAAACTGGAATAAAGAAAGTTTGAGTTAAGACATTAAATGGCTTGAAAGGAAAAAAAAAAACCCGCATAATTCTTAACAGTTCTCTTGCTATTTAATTTTCTTTTTTCCTCTCATCCTTCTTAGCCTGTACGGTAGTCCCTCCTTATCCAAGGTTTCACTGTCCACAGTTTTAGTTACCCATGTTCAACCGTGATCTAAAAATATTAAATGGAAAATTCCAAAAGCAAACAATTCATGCGTTTTAAATTGCACACCATTCTGAGTAGTGTGATGAAATCTCATGCAGTCCCTCTCTGTCCTGCCTAGGATGTGAATCATCTCTTTGTCCAGCAGATCCACACTGTATCCACTACCCGCCAGTTAGCCACTTAGTAGCTGTCTTGCTTGTCAGGTCAGATTGACTATTGCTGTTTTGCAGTGCTTATGTTCAAGTAACCCTTACTGTCAGAAATAATGGCCCCAAAGCTCAAGAGTAGTGATGCTGGCAATTCAGGTATGCCAAAGAGAAGCCATAAAGTGCCTCTCTTAAGTGAAAAGGTGAAAGTTTTCGACTTAAGAAAAGAAAAAAAATCACATGCTGAGCTTGCTAAGATCTACGGTAAGAACAAATCTTCCTTCTGTGAAATTGTGAAGAAGGAAAAAGAAACTCTTGCTAATTTGGCTGTCACACCTGAAATATGTACGTACAGGAAAAAACGTAGTATATGCAGGCTTCTATATTATCTGCGGTTTCAGGCATGCACTGGGGGTCTTGGAGTCCATCCCCCACGGATAAGGGGAGACCACTGTACTTTCATTCAACCAAGAGAGAACAAAGAATAGGAAAAGCAAAAGCAAAGAACACCATCTGCTGTTTTTTGCTCACAATAAAGTAGAGCGGAGTGCCCGGGATCCTATTCCTCCTCATTTCATTCTCGTTGAAGGTCTCCCACTCTGGAGAACTCATCTCTTAAATCACCCCCCTTTGACCTGAAAGAGTTAGTGCACTTTCACAATATGTATTCCATTTCTTTCCAAAAACTAATGTGCACCTGGGCCACGGATTAAGCCAGATCATTCTTTGAGATAGCTAATATTATTATTCTGTATGTATAGACATTTGAACTATGGATCAAAGAAGATAAGAAACTCTCTCAAGATAACAATCAGGAAAATAACAGTGAATTCAACCTACAAATATGACCCACAGCTTCCTTGATCTAATTCTGAGATGTTGAAAAAAATTCCCTTTGGTGTGGACATTTAATATTAAATCAGGCTCTTACGGTGCCCCGACAGCAGCTTGGAAACAAGGTACCTGAGAGAAACAGGAAATAAGGGGCTAAGTCCCTCACGTGGGTCCACGTGCTTGTTTGTGGGTTTTGTATTGAAGTCTGCACTAAAATCCACAGGAATGAATTCATTGCATATAATCTGGAATTGATATAGAGAATCAATTTTGCAAGTGATTTCTTGGACTCTTAAGAATGTTAGAAATCATAGGACCCTTTGACTAGTTTTTCTGTCATGTATTGATGGATCTTTTCTGTTCCTTCCTTTACTTTCTTCATGTTATCAATAAGTCACAATGGAATGTCTGACTGTCTTGTTTTAAATATCTGCATTTGCAAAATCAGCCTGGATACTGGGAATGAGAAGAGAGAAGAAACTTAGTTTTGTAATTTTACATATGGAAAATTTTAAGTTAAAAGGGACTTAAAATCCCTCTCTAATAGGATCCTCATTTAAGGAAAGTTCTTTTTCTCTTTAAACATCGGGAAAACCTGACACATTCTAACAGAAACCTGGAAGGAATGTGTGATTGGAATAAAAGACCAGCACATTCTTCTATTAACGTTTCTGGGTTGACAGTGTGCCCCAAGTGACCTTGATGATCAACGCAGCAACTAATTTCTTCATACTATGACTCAGAATTGTATGCGTGTACGTTAACCTGTTACAGATAACGTTTACCAACCTCAGTGCCTTAGTCTTCACTTGTTTTGATGATTATTTGTATTTGATACCTAATTGTTTATTCAGTTACCCTATTTAGCCCACTTGAGAGGAAATTAAATAAAGTGAAAATTTTACTTTATCAAGTCCAACAGGCACAGTTCTGATATGCTAATAACCCCTAATGGGGGTTTTGGCCATTAGTCAAGTAAACTTTCATGTAGGTAAAGCAGTTTGCAGGATAGTCAACCTTGCTTATATCTAAGGGATTTTTGTTGGATATATAGGACATGTATAATTTAATTTATATGTATATATAATATTTATTTACTATTACATGTACATATAATAGTAGAATAATAATTAGTCTTTTAAACTTCGTTTCTTGTTTCCTGATACAAATTGAACCGTCATTGGGTCAGTTATTAATCGTGCATGGCCTCTCACTGCTGCTGGACGTGACTGAATGCTTTACAAGCCAGAGCTCATTTATTCTCGTAGCAACCTCTCCCAAACCCTGGAAGGTGGGTACAATTCCTCCAGTGTTAGTAGATGAAGTGGGTAGTCATTTTTTGTTTGTTTTTATCTCTATTTTATGGATGAAGACATTGAAGTTTAGAGAGTTTGAAAGATTTTCTCCTAGGCATGTTGCTTGGAAGTCGTAAATACAGAATTTAAGCTCATATGGGTCTGACACTGTGATGGACAGTATTATGTGTCATCTTGGCCAAGGATGGTACCCAGTTATTTAATCAAACACTGTTTGACGGTGAGAAATGTAGGCAGTCCTGTCCTAGTACAGAGGCTTGGTTTGCAAGAGCATCGTTGATGCTGCAGATTTCTGTTTTTGACTATCAGAAGCCAAATAAATGTCGCTTTGTTCTTTCCCTCTGAGTTCCTCCTGTAACATTTATTCTGTAAACAGCACCCCCCCCCCCCCACACACATGTACACACTTTTTCCTTGTCCACTTGAACTCTCTGAGAAGATAGTTCTGCTTCCGGGAGCAAGGCAGAAGAAAAGAGCATATTGATAATATCCAAAATATGAACTTCATTATACTAAGATTCAGTATTTCTTAGATGCACTGTCTGAAGTGCTGTATCTGGATTATTTTATTTACTCCTCAGAAGAACCCTCTGAGGTAGGAACTGATCCCCACACCCTGTTTATAGCTGAAAAAACTAAAGCATAGAAGGGTTTAATAATTTGTCCAACACTAGGAAGTGGCAAATGCAGATATAAACCCCGGCTCCAGATCCTACACTCTACCCACTTCAGTCTACGTGAAAGATATAAACCCCTGACTCCAGATCCTACACTCTACCCACTTCAGTCTACGTGAAAGATATAAACCCCTGACTCCAGATCCTACACTCTACCCACTTCAGTCTACGTGAAAGCTGGTTATAAACTGTGAAGCCATATTTAATACAAGTTTATATTCAGTCGATTCTTAGGATTTGTGGATTCTGTATTTGTGAATTTGCCTGCTCACTAACTAGTAAATATTTGTAACCCCCAAAATCAATAGTTGTGATGCATTCAAGGTCATTCACGGACATGCACAGAGTGCCGAAAATATGAGTCGCCCAGTATGCGTATTTCCAGCTGGGGCTGAACAAGGTGGTGCCCCGCCTTCTTGTTTCAGCTCTCCTACTGGAAAGAAGTGTTTTTTTGAGGTTCTTTAGTGTCAATGTTTTTTGCATTGTTGTGCTTTTTATTGGTGATTTCGCTTTTTAAAATGACCCCACGGCATAGTGCTGAAGAGCTGTCTGGTGTTCGTAAGTGCAGGAAGGCTGTGATGGGCCTCACGTGTGTTGGATAACTTTGCCTGGGCTTCCGTTACAGTGCTGTTGGCCTTGGGTTCAGTGTTAATGGATCAACAACATATATTAGATATGGTGTCTTTAAACAGAAACACACGTAAAGCAAGATTATATATTGATGGATTGGTCAAGATGTGATCAGAGACTCACAGAAACCTGCTCCCGTGTTCCTCCTCAGTCTTGTTAGTTCAGTGTTTGCGGCGATTCTATGGAACATAACAACCATGAATAACAAGAATGGACTGTATTTCTCTCCCTATTCTCTCACCTTCCTTAATTACTTAATTCATTAAATACTCTGGCATTTAAAAATGTTTTACTTATCAAACCTTCTCAATGGGGATGGTATTGCCCCTAAAGGGACAAAAGTTGGTTCTTGGGAGGTAAAAGCTCTTACTATTTTTGTGTAAAAAACAAAGATATAGTACGTAACAGATATATAATATATTTGTGGTATTACAGTTTTATTTGGGAGATGATTAGGAAAAAAGCCTCAAAAGTTTCCTTGGGGGAAGGGCAATAATAAACCAAATGATTGGAAAACACAGCTGTGGGGCATCGTGAATATATGATGAAGCATCTAAAGCATTTATTAGAGTACACAACACAGTGTACACACTCAATGTTGGCTATTATTATAAATAGCACTGACAATGTGATTTGTTTCCCCAGTCTCCTTCCCTTTCTTCATAGACCCACATTTCTTAAATTGGGATTTGTAGACCTCTGAGGGTTCTAAAATAGACGTTTTCAGACCTGTCTGAGAATTTTCTCTGAATTTTGTTATTCTGTTTTGTGCTTTCACTTGAATGATAATTTTAAAAATAATAGATAATTGTCTACTGATTTCCCTTTAGAACAGAGTCCTCCCACAAGATTTCATTGTCTAAGTTTGTGCCTGTCTTTTAAGGAAAGAATACTACCTCAATGGTTATGGGCTAACAACAATAAAAGAAAAGCAGACTTAAAATGTGTGAATGATACAGTCAGACCAGATAAAGCCAGGTGATATTTCATTGCATAGTAGAAGGAAGGACTCCCAGGTTCTAATGGAGGAAGGTGGTGGGTAGGCTGAGTCCTCGCACGGCCTGGGGTAGCATGGGCATGTCCAAACCAAGAGAACATTGGCTTTAGCAGCCAGTACCATATTTACATTTTGAAAGGCAATTTAATCTCAGCAAAATAACATCATCTGCCATGTTAAATTAATGCTGTTAATTTGAATTTTATGGGTTTTATTGTCCTTGTGTTCAATTTATTGTTTTGTTTGGGTCTTATTGTTGAATCAGAGCTAAATCATGTGGAGTTTATTTCTCGTTTTCCATTTGTGCATTACTGAGTAACAATCTAATAAAAATAATTGAAGTCCATATAGTGGTGGTGCACAATAATGCTTTTTGCCATATTAAGGGGAGTGTGTGCATTCCTCAGCTTTGAGGAGTAATGTAATGGACTCATAGACTACTTGAGCTACTCGAAATCGCTTAGTCTAACCATCTCACCTACCAGATGTGGACATTGAGCCTTCCAGAGGAGAAGTGAAATGTCCAAGGTCAAAAACAAGGGAGTAGCAGACTGATGTCAGACCAGGTTGACATATTTCTATCTAGGTACCTGGTCTGCATGGCAGCCCCCCTCCGAAGGTGAACCATGGCAGGTAAACGGCGACCACTGCCAGGCCATGAAGGCAGACTAGACATAAACTAATGGAGAGTTACTGCACTTTTCTCAGGGAGGAGGATGTGAAATGGGCAGGGATGCTGGAAATAACAGACATATTTCAGAGCCATATGTCAAAATGAGTAATGGGCAGTGATGAGAAGAAGCAATAGCCTCTTGACTTTTCTGCTCAGCTGCTCAGGTGATGTCACCCATGAACTTGGATTCTTCCATTACTCTCAATATTAGCAAACAAATCCCTGAAGCTCTTTAAATTGAAGCCATTTGTACTTTTCTACTCTGTGTTTAGGCGTAAGCTCATGCCACCTAACTGGGGCGTGTTCCTCTGTGCAGGGAAAACTCCTGGGAAAGTGTCTCTCAGCTGCATTTAAGTTTTGATCATAACTTGTGGAGTGAAAAAGAGTTCATTTGTGATATAACTGTTTGGTCATTATATTAGTTTTCTATTGACGCGTAACAAATTACTGCAAACATATTAGCAGCTTAACACTTATTTATCATTTATCATCTCACAGTTTCCATGGATTATTTTTAGGATCTCACAGAGGTGTATTCAAGACATTGGCTGGGTCTCTCGCCTGAGGCTCGGGTCCTCGTCCATGCTTATGCCAGTGTTAGCAGAATTCATTTCCTGGTGGTGATAGAACTTACAGTGGCTTGGTTCTTCAAGGCCAAGGGGAAGAGTCTCTCTCCTCTAGATTCTTGTAAAGGGCTTACCTACTTAGGTCATGCCCACCCATGATAATCTCCCTTTTGATTAAAGTCAACTCAGGGAATTTAATTACATCTGCAAAATCCCCTCACCATTGCCATACTCTATTGCTTAGAGGCACGTTACAGGTTCTGCCCACACTCAAGGGGAGCAGAATACCATGGGCATGGACACTGGCTTAGCCTGTTTAGGCTGCTACAACAAAATACCACGGATTAAGTGGCTTATAACAACAGAAATTTAATTCTCACAGTTCTGGAGGCTGGAAAGTCCGAGATCAAGGAGTCTGGTAAGACCCTGTTTCCTGCTTCATAGATGGCTGTTTTTTCCCTGTGTCCTCAGATGGTGGAAAGATCAAGGGAGCTCCATGGTGGGGTCTCTTCTATAACGGCATTAATCCCATTCATGAGGGCTCCACCCTCATGACCTAATCACCTCCCAAAGTGTAATCACCTCCTATTAAACCATCACATTGAGGAACAGGCGTAATGATGTGAATTTGGAGGGACACAAACATTCAGTCTGTAGAGGGACCGTGGGGGTGATCTTAGAATTCTACCCATCGCAGTCATTGATGCACCCCTCCCAGTTGTGACAACTAAAAATGATACAGACGTTGCCAAATATCCCCTTGAGGGGAAAAGCACCTCCAGTTGAGAACTACTGCATTAGAAAAGTGAACTGGTTTTTTGTTTGTTTTTGTTTGTTTGTTCGTTTGTTTTTTAAGATGGTACAGCTGTTTGGAGCCAGCAGGCTCTTGCACCTTGGATAATGCCTCATTCTTAGGTTTGCTTTTGTCCTTTACTGGGAAATGTATAGTTTATAGTTGCAAATAAAAAATTAATACTGTGGATGTATTTCCCATATGTACTTTCTTATTCGCATGTTCACCAAAATCAGATTACGTCATCATATGTGTCTATGTTTTATAATCTTGTCTGAGTTGCTAGTCAAGCCGTATTATAATAGGGCCTTAGTTCTACTCCAACATGGGTCCAATAGTTCCCAAAAGATATTTAATGCATAAGGTAAGAATCCTAATATACTCCATTCTTGGTGTTATGGTTTGTTTCTTGGAAACAAGTGATAGGGCTTGAGATGGGGCAGAGTGGAAGGCATGGTCTGGTTCTGAAATCACAGAACTCAAAAGCTGCTCACTCCTGTTTTCTCTAGGCAAAGGCAGCTCAAGCATCTCATCCGACGTGAGTTCAAGTACAGATCACACACCAACCCAAGCCCAGAAAAATGTGGCTACCAGTGAAGGTAGGCATCTGGTCTTCATTATCTCTTGCCCTCTTTACAGTGCTGACTGTTTTTGGAAGACAAAATGTGTGAGTCTCAGTTGTGTTCTACTGAGTGGGAGCATATGAAATTCTTGAAAGTGAGGAGGCAAAGGGTTTCCCAAGTTTCTTTTTTGTTGCACTGCTGTCACTGTCCACTAAAGTTGTTTCTATGGGAATTAAGTGTCTCAATTCTAAGGCAAATGCTGTTATTTTGTGAAAATGTAATACGCTGACTTTTGGGAAACCTTTGTGATATTATATATCTTGTTTTTCCAGTATGGAAAACATTGTGATTGTAAAATCCTTGTGCCTATCAAGATAAAGATTGGTTGCAGTGATACTCTTGATAAAGAATTTCACTGTATATGGTAATGCGTGTTGGAATTCAACTGCTTCCCAATAGTCAAGGAGCTTTTGAGTTATTACTCGCTTAAGTGTGGATATACTTGTTTCTGTAGTGGTTATTTAGTAGAAATTGACTCAATTATGGAATCAGCTCCTTTTATTTTAATGTTATACGTAATTAAATGACTTCCTTTCTTTCTAACTAATTGTTGAATGAAGGAACTAATTGTTCCTTTTAATGTTATACATAATTAAATGACTTCCTTTCTTTCTAAACTAATTGTTCAACTCTTCTTCTGGAAGAAGAATTCTTTCTAAACTAATTGTTGAATGAAGATCCAGTGTAAGACATCAATGCCATTTATAATGAAAAACTCTTTGTTAGATGTCAGCTGCTTTCCATGACATTGTATAGAGCCTACCTTTCTAAAGGGTACAGGCTGTTGCAGAAGCACATTTCTAGTCTTTGTTTCAGAGGTCTAATTTCTGCTGCTTATAACATTGGGAAGCATATTCATGGCATGATGTTGGTCATCTCAACTGTTTGATTGCTCTTGATCCACATTATAGTTTATGCATTGATGATGGTTTACCTTTGCTGTGTCTATCTTCTCTTTCCATATTCTTTGACTTCATATGTTTCAAATAGCACAGAATTATCTTCTCTGGGTTAGTTATCCCCAGACTGATGATAAATTACTTTTACAACTGGATTATATTCCCCTGTGTTTAATGCCTTAGCGTTGTCTTACCAACATTGTGAGCCAAACAGATTAGGGTTTTCTCTTCAGTGTGGCAAAGCACCAGGTGGCAATCCAATCTTAATTTTCTGCCTTTTAATTCAAATATGGACATTAGCTCAATCTTAGAATTCAGTTACCGTAATGTGCAGGTCAGGTAAATTGACTCTAGACATTTGCTTTTGAGGCTTCCATTCTTAGGAGCCAGAGTGAAAATCACTTCAATTTAATTTATTTTTGACCCTCTCTAATCAGAAATCTATGTTTTGTAAGATTATCACTTTTTTCCACCATTATTTTATAGTCACTTTTGTCACAGTTATTTGCCTAATTTGAGTAGGTGTGAAAATAAAATGTTTAAAGTGTGTTAAATAATCCTTCTGTGTTTCCCTATCTGGATTTAAGTTCTCTAATTATTTTTTCTCCTTTTTAAAAATAGAAAATACAAAACTCTATGAGCTGTGTTGCACAGGTTGTGGGAGGGGACTGTGAGACTTTATGCATTTAAAAGGTCTGCTTTTTCTGCTTCCAAAAGAAAGAAAATCTATAGGGATTTAAAATTTTCATTTTATTTCATCTTTTCCCTAGGAAGATTCTTTTGATGCAGACCCAGCCAATGTTTTATACATTTTTTGTCACAATGCATTTTCTATCATTTTGAGGGTAAAAATCAAGAGAGAAAAATGGGAAAATGTAATGTTCATATGAAACAGTATGTTTTAGCAACTGGGCTAAATTAATATGGAATATTTTTGCAACCCTTAAGTGAAAGAACCCCATCTCTATGACAGATGCTATCCGTTTTCTTGTAATCTGAAAAATTAAAAAAGAAAATGTTTTGCTATTTGTATGCATCCATTTTTGCTACTTTTTAATCAATGATAATTAAAATATTAAAAAATAAATTAGATGTGGGTATTGGTTACATTAAAATGTCTTTCAGGGATGTTTGCTGCATAACTGGTCTCATAATATCATCTGCTTTTTCAAGATGGAAGGACAGTAGCTAGTGCTAAGTTTCTCACTGTACAGGTGCCAGGGCTCAGGTCTACCTCTTAGGATGAGCCATTAGGGCGTCACATTCCCCGACCTCCTCAGGGTGGATTTACCTGATGGCGTGCATTTCCTCCTACCAGAAAACACATAGGTAACACTGTACGCAGCATGCTGTGAAACAAACAGAAGGTGGACACCAATGTCTTACACATGCTACAGAGGAACAAATTTAAAAACGCTTTTCTGATGCTCTTCCCACTGTTTTCTAGAACTATGTTTAACCTTTGATATTAAGAAAATCTTGGGTAAGTGGTATAAATGACTTTCTAGAAGCTATTTGATTGTGATTATTTTCTTCATTTCCTTAATCCTCTTATGATTTTTCAACTCTGAATTCAATGATATCATTTTCGAGAAGCACAGGCTGGATCCTCTGTTTAAAGGTCTGAGAGAGATTGATTTTTAAAAATGATATCTATTGTGAAGGGCAATGTTCAGTTTTCCTGCAGCTTTTGAAAACCATACCTGTAATAGCTGGGTTGGAAGCATTTTGCAGCACTGCTGTACTTTTCCCTGATAGGCTAGATGGGGAAGGTTGTTGGTGGTGGTTTGTGTGTGTTTGTATATGCACATGGTTGTGCATTTGTGTCCAACCTCCACAAGCTGTCTAATGGCACAGGTGTTGTCTCTTGCTAGGAAACATGTAGATAACCACTGTGTGCAATGTAGGCTGGCAAATAGACTGAGCACATGGGAGCTGAGGGAAGAGAAGGGCACCGCATAGCATGCACTTAACCTGGGGCTGGTGGTGGGAATGGGGAATTAATTGTAAACAGACACAGGGATCTTACTGGGGAAATGACAATGTTCTAAAATTGGATTGTGGTGATAGTTGCACCACTCAGTAAATTTACTAAAAATCATGAATTGTGCACATGAAAAAGGTTGTTGAGATATCTGCTGGTTTTGTAGGATCTTCAGACTTGTATCTAAATCATCACAAACTATTCTTTGCAAATGCTGCCTCCCAACTCTGAGGGGGTCATGAACAGTGCCCAGAAGGTCTGGTAAGAGGGCAAGACTTGGCCAGTACAAAGTGCAGAGCTACTGGCAGAAAGCTTCTTTGAGGCCCTGGCCTTGAAAGCCATCATAATGAGTCCCTAGACAAGTAGTGTCGATAGCCCGGCGTGTAGTGCCCGGTCAGAATTGAGTCATCATAGTACTCATTCTCCCATGAAGCTCTGAGAGACGTGAGATTATAGACCCACAGGTTCCCCAAACGTTTTTTCTTTTTAGCTTTTCCTGGATAGTCTTTAACATCAGCTCAGATTTTAAGTATTCTAGCACCCAACCCTAATAGTTGAGACATCACATTTTTTTGCTGTAGCAAGTGTATTTCTTTGCTAACAACTTTTGTCCCTACGGTCTATCTAATGTTCCAACTAATCTGCTTTGGGTCATAAGGCTATTCCCCTAGGCAAGGTGGGCACAGATGGGGTTACAGTTTAGTTTTAAATCAAGAAACAGTGTGTTTTTGACCTGATGGTAGTGTTCTGTGTCAAATTCTTATGCACCCCTTTTAAGGAATTGGCAGCCTCCAGTACTTTCTTCCTGATAAATGGTGTAGGCTTTCTTTAAAACACATCCTATTTCTTGTGACAGGTTAGGTTCCTGATTCCCTGACACTGTAGGGGGTTAGGGTTCAAGTGCAGAAAGCTGGAAACTTTCCATTTTTCTCAACAAAATTTGCATTCCAACATCTTAAACCACAGCTTAATTCTTTCCACTTGTGTTACTGTTTTCTCTTCCCCTGTTTTCAGTCTTTCTCATCCATGGGTGTTCTCTCTTATACTGAAAAGAATGGCCTTTGACCTGCAGCTATGAAAGTCACATCCAGCCCGTGGTTGGAATAGGGCATACGGCAGCCAGCCTTGAGCAGAGTCAGTTCTGTTGGGTTAGATCGTGAAGAAACTTCCTAGAAATAGAACATTGAGCATGGGCTTCTTTCACAGAACAGAGGGTATAAGGCTGTGGTTTCAAAGGTGCCATCTCAAGAACTCAGCCTTCTCTTGAGCTGGAGGAAGGTGAATCAGTTACTTCAAAGGCCAAATGTAATTGATCCAGCTGCTCTTTAAACATATATTCAAGTTCAGACATTGAACTCACTGACAACACAATATATAGATGTGATGGCTGTTTATAAACGTTGGTTATCAAGCCAGACAACCATGGAACATAGGATTTTTAGAGCTACAAAGGGCTTTGGCAATTTTCTGATCTAATACACTCATTTTACAAAGATATACCTGCAGCACAGAGAAATGAAGAGATTTGCTCAAGATTACATACTTAATAAACTATCAAGCAGGAATTCGGCACAATATTGTTTTGGTGAAAGGGAGTCAAATTAGAAAAAAAAAAGATAACCTTTAAAAGATCCATTGTCTTCTGAGCACGAAGCTACTTAATTCTCTTTTGTTCACTGATCTCTAGCTGCCTATTTTGAGCTGGTTGCAGAGCTGAGGCAGGCTGTTTAGAAGAGTTTGAGAAAGATTATTGAGCCCAAATAGATCCATGGTTCCAATGGGAGGAGAGGATATGCTTTGAATGGTAATAGGATCTCAGCCTACTTGAGTAGGTCAACTTCATACCTAGAGATGGAAACACTGCTTTTAAGTTAGCTCGTGATTTTAAATAGCCTTTCAACAAATCCGCTTAGCTTACTATTATTTTGTGAAATTGCCCATCTAATTAGCTCCCTAAAAGGAGTTCATTTAAAAATGTTTCATTTGAGCCACATGAAATGAGTTGATTTATGAAGAATTTGTGGTGATATTCTTTCCATGGAAGCTAAAGCCACCAGTTTATTTATACAGTCATGGGTTCTCATGTTTTCAGT